TTTTAGAATTGGTATTAGTTGTACAAAATTTTGGAATTTAAGCGAAATTGCTTCGAATTATTTGAAAATATTTAAAATTATTAAATATTTTTATTGTTTGCAATTACTGGAATTATTTGTGAATTACTGGAATTTTTCTGGAATTACTGTAATTCTCCTTTTGGAATTATCGGAGATGATTTCTTTTGAAAATTACGTTGGATTTTTTAAAACTAGCGGAATTAATTTGGAATCACAGAAATTATTATAGAATTACGAAAATTAAGTAATCCTAAAATTAAGTTGGAATTAAAATTGCAGGAACAATTTTTTTTTCATTTCATTTTTTGAAGTTAATGGCCTCCCAATATAATTATATAATGTCATTTTTGTAATCTATGAAACGTAAGGAATAAATAGTAAAATCATAGAAAATTAATAATTTTCAATAAAGTTTAACAGCTTTCATTAAAACACTGTTTTCGGTGTTTTAATAGTCATAAAAAACACAAAATAGAAAAAAAATTCATGTTAAAGAATTTATATTTTTCTCAACCGTTTTTAATTATTTAATCTTTAACTGAAAATATAGTATTAAACTCGTGAGAAATGGTCATTTCCACTCAGAAATGGCCAACTTTCTCACTCGTTGTATAATATACTATTGCTTAAAACCCACCCATAATGTATTTCCTCGCTTGCGATAAAGTCCTATCAGGGCTCCAGGACCGTATTAACAGCAATTTCCTAAAAACATCAAGACTTTTTTGGTACCCACACGGTATTTCCTCTTCTTCGGGCCTTTCCTTCTCATACCAAACCCTCCACTCCTTTTCATTCCCTTCAATCTTACCCAAAATCTCCGCAAAAGTCTTCAATTTATTAATTTCGACCAAATTCAACCACGTTATGTCCAAAATCCAGCGAAACGGTTTCGGTTGCACCGCATTCAAATCCAACGAAGCCCCCCCTTTAATAAARACCATAAACTCCTCATGAGTGATTAAACCATTTTGAAGATCAATTTTCATCGCCATCATGAGCGTAAACAACGCTTTGTGTCTCTCYTACAAACTTCTTTGAGTGAAAGCCCAAACTTCTTTGGTCAAATATCGCAAAATAATCCGAATTCGGTCACTCGTATCTGGATTTTTCTCGGATTTGGTGATGGAATTGTCGAAAATYATCAAGAATTGTTTGAGGGAATTTTGGTACATGACATTAACATTGCTCATCTCCACGATGAGGAAATAAAGAATTGAGCCTCGGGCTGCAACAGCACGAAACTCCTCTCTTGCAACATTGATCTTCTTCTCGGTGTGGACTGAAACTGAGAGCTTTTGGTTCACTTCTTCTGAAGTTGTTTTCGTCACTTGCAACACATTTATGAGTTCTTCGTCTTCGACTAAAGAACACTCCGAGGAGTTGAGTCTACTGAGAAGATTGGACTCGAGTTCTTTCATTCGTCTTTGGTTTTGCATCACTGATTCGAAGAGGGCCACTCTTTCGGCCTCCAAATCGGACTTCTCCATGAGGATGACGCGGCCTAGGAGTTGGTCCTCGAGGCCCAACATGGTCACGGTGAAGTCAATGATGGAAGTTTTAGCACTAATTTCGGGGGAGTATGGGGGATTTGGGAGTTTGGTAGTGATATAAAGCATGAAACCTTTCAAAACATCGCATTCTTTATCACCAACAATGACCTTTTCGATTGATCCTGACTTGATGAAATTCTTCTCGAGGACGTTGTCCAAAACCGGGTCAAGCTCAACATCGATATCCTCAATCAGGAGGGGTTTCCCCAACGAGAGACAATCCTCGAGGTGAGTCCTGAAGTATTTGTGATTGAGGGAGGTGATTTGGAGGTTATTATTGGACTCTTTGTTTTTGATCCACATTTTTCCCTGATTTTGGGGGTCGATTAGGAGGGGATATGAGCGTGATTTTGTGACAATTAGAGCATTTTGGACTGATAATTCGTCATTTGGAAGGCCTTGGAGTGTCCATTCGGACAATGTTGCACTTTCCACCAACATATTAGTAATGTTGAGGTTTTGAGTAAAAGGGATTTCCTTCACCCCAAGGATTTCCCCCCAAGTCTTGACTAAATTTGCCCTAAACTCTTGATTATAGGGCCCACAATAGGACAAAAATCCCGTTGCGAGAAGCACATCCCCGACTAAACGCCCTAATTGCTCCTTAAACTCCCTACTCTGTTGGGTCCATCTCACTTTTTCGCCCCCTAAACCATTGATTAGTGTTGTTGCTGTGTTCATTTTGCGCAAACACGAGTTGGCTGCGTCTGTTAAGCGTTGTTTTTCAAGGACTGCAGTGTCGTATTGGTCTTTGACCTCGCGGAGGGATTGTTCGCGTTCTTCTAGTTGTTGTTCAACAGCTGCGAGGTCTTCCATTGCGACCTGGAAATTTTTTTTGATCAGGGATTGGTGGGTTTGGGGGATTWTGTTACTTTGAGTCGGGCTTCTTGGAGTGTTAGGTTGGCTTTGAGTGGGAGGACTTCGCGGTTTACGCTGTGGAAAAATGCCATTGCTTTGGTCCAGGAGAGGAGGCCGGCGACGTCGCCACAGACGCGTTTTGCTGTGTCCATGTTGTAGTCTTCCATTTCGAAGTAGGGCTGCAGGAATTCGACCATTTCYTTGTTGATGATGTCTTTGGGGTAGTTTTGGAGTTGGAGGAGGAAGGTGGTCGAAGCCATCATCTATTGAATTAATAAGAAATTTACTATTTGTGTAAAATAATCTAAATCCATCTTTCTGATTTTATCTCAAAAATAACGTTGATATTTGTTTTATATTATTTTCGAATCTAGAAATATGTTGACTAATTCATTATTTTTTTAATTTTGAAAAACATGCTTGAATTCTTCTATTTTTAGTGGTGATACCGTATAATAAAAAAGTAAAATTGTATAAGTTGGTAAGCAGGACTTTGTTCTATCCTTTGATACAATTAAAAAAAATATATTTTTTAATTTCTTTTAAAAATTACATTGAATTTCTGATAACTATCTGAATTAATTTGGAATTAAAGGATTTATTTTGGAATTACTAAAACTAAGTTGGAATTATAAGAAACTAATTAATCTGAAAACAATGGAAATTATTGGAATTTCGGTGTAATTTTTCTGAAATTCTGGAATTCTTTTTGAAAAATATTATTAGAGATAATGTCTTTTTCAAATACTGGAATTTTGGAGTTTTGGAACTATTTTTGGAAGGTATTATCGGAAATAATTTTTTTTGAAAATTACATTAAATTTCTTAGAACTATCGGAATTAATTAATTTGGAATCACAGGAATTATTTTGGAATTACTAAAATTAATTTGGAATTATCGGAATATAATCAATCTGAAAACAATGGGAATTATTAGAATTTTGGTGGATTTTTTTGGAGTTTTTTGAAATACTTTTGAAAAATATTATCGGAAATAATTTCTTTTGAAAATTACATTGAATTTCTTAGAACTAAGAAACTAATTAATCTGAAAACAATGGAAATTATTGCAATTTTGGTGGATTTTTTCTGAAATTCTGGAATTCTTTTTGAAAAATATTATTAATGTCTTTTTTAAATTACTAGAAGTTTGGTGGATTTTTTTTTGGAGTTTTGGAACTATTTTTGGAGAGTATTAACGGAAATATCTTTTTTTGAAAATCACATTGAACTTCTTAAAACTATCTGAATTAATTTGGAATTACAGGAATTATTTTGGAATTACTAAAATTAATTTTGAATATAGGAATATAATCATTCTTAAAACTATGGAAATTATTAGAATTTTGGTGGATTTTTTTGGAGTTTTTGGAAATATTGTTGGAAAATATTATCGGAAATAATTTCTTTTGAAAATTACATTGAATTTCTTAGAACTAAGAAACTAGTTAATTTGAAAACAGTGGAAATTATTGGAATTTCGGTGAAATTTTTCTGAAATTCTGGAATTCTTTTTGAAAAATATTATTAGAGATAATGTCTTTTTTAAATTACTGGAATTTTGTTGGATTTTTTTGGAGTTTTGGAACTATTTTTGGAAAGTATTATCGGAAATAATTTTTTTTGAAAATTATATTGAATTTCTTAGAACTATCGGAATTAATTTGGAATTACAGGAATTATTTTGGAATTACTAAATTTAATTTGGAATTATAGGAATATAATCAATCTGAAAACAATGGACATTATTAGCATTTTGTTTTTTTTTTGGAGTTTTCGGAAATATTTTTGAAAAATATTATCGAAAATAATTTCTTTTGAAAATTACATTGAATTTCTTAGTACTAAGAAACTAATTAATCTGAAAACAATGGAAATTATTTTAATTTTGGTGGAATTTTTCTGAAATTCTGGAATTCTTTTTGGAAAATATTATTAGATGTCTTTTTCAAATTCCTGGAATTTTGGTGGATTTTTTTGGAGTTTTTGGAACTATTTTTGGAAAGTTATCGTAAATATTTTTTTTTGAAAATTACATTGAATTTCTTAGAACTATATTAATTTGGAATTACAGGAATTATTTTGGAATTACTAAAACTAATGTAGACTTATAGGAATATAATCACTCTGAAAACAATGGAAATTATTAGAATTTTGGTGGATTATTTTTGGGGTTTTAACCTTGTTTTAGGCCAATTTTGTTGAATTTTTGTCTTGTTTTTAACGAAATTTTGCAAAATAATTGCGTTTCTCACTGAAAAAGCATTCGAAAAAGACAAAAATAAATTGTCATTTTAGTAAAATGAAATT